CCCCCGCCAGTGATCGCCATCTCGGCCAACTCCGAGAAGGTCTTCATCTACCGCCGCAACGGTGCCAACTGGGACACCTCGGCTCCGGCCTTCGTGCTGGCCGAGCACGACAAGCTGGTGACCGGCATCGACTGGGCCCCGGAGTCCAACCGCATTGTCACCTGCTCGCAGGATCGCAACGCCTACGTCTGGTCCTTCGAGGATGGTGTGGCCTGGCGCCCGAAGCTGGTGCTGCTGCGCATCAACCGCGCGGCCACCTGCGTCCGCTGGTCGCCGGATGAGCGCAAGATCGCCGTTGCCTCCGGCGCGCGCACCATCTCCATCTGCTACTTCCAGCCGCAGCACGACTGGTGGGCCTGCCGTCACATCAAGAAGCCCATCCGCTCGACCATCCTCTCGCTGGACTGGCACCCGAACTCGGTGCTGGTGGCGGCCGGCTGCGCGGACTTCACCGTGCGCGTCTTCTTCGCCGGCATCAAGGAGGTTGAGACCGCCCGGCCGGAGCCCACCCCCTGGGGCTCGAAGCTGTCCTTCGACACTTGCTACCATGAGTTCCGCGGTGCCTGCGGCACCAGCGCCTGTGGCTGGGTCCACTCGGTCAAGTTCTCGCCCGATGGCAACACCCTGGCCTGGGTGTCCCACAGCTCCAGCGTGCACTTCGTCACCAGCGACGAGGGGGCCACCGTGCAGACCGTCAACTTCAATGGCCTGCCCCAGCGCTCCGTCATTTGGGCCTCCGACAACAGCGTCATCGCCGGTGGCCACGATGCCAACATCCACCTGTTCACTCGTGGCCATGATGGCCAGTGGGCCTACGTCCGTCCGCTGGATGCCACCGAGAAGAAGTCCTCTTCCGCCGGCCCGGCTTCCGGTGCCTCGGCCGCCATGAACATGTTCCGTCAGCTGGACTCCCGCGGCCAGCAGGAGACCGACACCTCCCTGCCGACCGTCCACCAGAACGCCATCACCCAGCTGTCGCCGTACGAGTCTTCCGGCTCGCGCGTCACCGCCTTCGCCTCCTCCGGCCTCGATGGCAAGGTGGTCGTCTGGTCCATCAACTCCATCGAGTCCTCCATGGCTGGCCTGAAGATCGCCTAAGTCGCACCCGCGTGTGTGTGTGTGTGTGTGTGCGCTGTGAATGTGCACGGCTCCCTTTGTCGTCGGGCGGCAGGGGGAGAGAGGCACCATGCATGAGGGTGCGCGTCTGTACGTGTGCGCTGCTTCTTCGCACCCAGGCGTGAAGCCACGGTGAGGGGCGGAGAGAGAGAGAGGGACAACCGAAGAGGGCCAAGCAGCCTGCGGCCTGGTGCCTGCGCGCTCTTTTCCATCCTCCGGTTTCCCTCTGTCTCTCTCTCTCTCCCGCTCGCTTTCTTCCTCTCTCGCTCACTCTCCTGTCTCCTCTTCTGGCGATGTGCCTCCGCGCATGTGCGTGGTATCATGTATGCTGAATGTATCTACGTCCCCGCGTGTTCCCAAAAGCGCCCTCGTCTGTGTGTGTGTGCCTCTTTTTCAGGGTGTATTGAGATTGTTTTCTTTTTGGTTTCCTCGCCCGCCGTCCCGTGTGGTCCCCAAGTCGTCGGCTGGTGGGACATGGGCGCGAGGCCTGCGTGCACACACGGGAGCCTGTGATTTGACTTCTCTATTGGTGGGTGTGGGTGTTTTGGGTGTGCAAAAAGAGGATATTCGGGCAGCTGCATGATTCCGGGGGGGAGGGGGGGGGGGGGGAGGAGGAGGTACAAGGGAGCCGGCATGTACAGCAGGCAAAAGCAGGACGGCAGCAGCGTGGCGCCGGCCTCTGTGCCCTGCGGCGAAAAGGGAGAAGAAGAAGAGGAGAGCGAGAGGCAGCAGGAGGCAGGCGGCTCCGGCTTGCCCGGCCCCTTGGGTCCTAGGCTTGTCGCTCTACTCCGCCTACGCGCCCGGCGCATGCCAGCCCCCTTCCTTCTGCCCCATGGCCCGGCGACGTTGGTGCGAGGGGGGGGGGGGAGGGATCCCCACCCAAGCGGCAGCGGCCAACCGAAGGACCGACCCCTGTGTTGTGCCCCTCTCGGGGGTTCTCTTGGCTCCACCTCTCAGACAACCGCGCGCCGGGCAAAGTCCACCAGGCAAATGGCCTCGCGGTAGGAGTCCGACAGACGCGACCAGGCCTGGGACTGCTCCCGGCGAAGGGTGTTCATGCGCCGGGTGAGATCCATGTCCAGGGCGGTGACCGGCACGTCGCCGGCCTCGGCCGACTCCTCAACCCCCGGCAGCAGACGGTCCCCATGGATACGCAGAGTGACCGTGGTCCAGGCCTGCACCAGCTCGAAGTCCCGATGGCGGCGCGTGGCCCAGGTGAGGAAGTCCACAAAGCGAGCCAGCTCGGTCGCCGGGGCGGGATTGGCGGCGAAAATGTTGGCCGCAGGGTCCGTGCCGCTGGGCGGGTCATAGCGGAGCGAGCGAATCTCAAAGTCCACACCGGACGGAGCCAGGCGCGTCAAGTGCTCAAGGGCCGCAGTGTCTGCGGAGGTGCGCAGGGAAATCGCCCCCCCCCCCCCGGCCCCGGGAGGCAGGTGCAGGATGAGCACGCGGTTAGCAACCAGCAGGAGCTGAAGCAAGTGAGCAGGTACACCAAGCAGAAAAAAAAGGCCCCGAGGCCCGGGACGAGTGCACGCATGTGTACACCGCGCCCCGGGCGGGATTCTTCCTTGCCGGGCAGGGGGGGAGGTGAATGACGCACAGAAAGTGTCCACCTCCGAATCGGCGGCAATGGCCTCGGAGGCCTGACGCAGGGCCGATGTGAGCGGGGTCTCCGCGCCGGCGGTGCCCATACGCATGACACGGGAGGCCTCCTTGAGGGCGGCCTCCTCCTCCTCGATGGACTCCCCGGGGCGGGAAAGCAGCGTCGAGGTGACAGCGGTCTTGGAAGGAAGGAAGAAGGGAGCTATATCCCGGCGCGAGTCCGGCAAAAGCAGAGGCGAAGAGAGGCGAGAAAGGGGAGGGAGTGGGAGGCGTCAGAAGGGAGCCGAGTCAAAAGCATATAGGGCACATGGTCTCCACCCGGAGGGAGGAGTTCCCCGCCCCCCCCCCCTCGTGATCGGCCGCAGATGGGCAACGCACCCTTCTCCGGCAGCTTGGGCGCCTCGAGCGGCTTGTTGCGCTCGCGGATGGCATCCAAATGGAGGAGGTTGTGCCAGCGAGCGCGCGGGACCATACTCAGGGTGACCACCCCGTCGACCATGCCCTCATCCAGGCGCGTGCGCTCCAGGGTGACACGCTCGTAGTCGGCGGCAGCGGCGCGCGCCTGGGCAATCCCCGTGGCCAGGGCATACACCGACACCGCCAAGTCGTCGACAAAGGTGATGGCAATGAAGTCCCCACGGGGAGCCACCGCGATGGAAGTCGGCACCGCCGGCAGCTTCATCGTGTCCACCGTTAGCGAGGAGGGGATGTCATACACACGCAGGTGGGCATCCGTGGTGACGGCCAGCAGAGACCGCCCATCCACGGAGAAGGCCTTGATGAGTGGTGGTGCGTGCATGTGAGTGCGCATGGTCAGCACATGTGGGCCGGATGGGGCCGAGAGCCACGGCCCTCCCGGTGGGCCTTTTTTTTTTTTTCAGGCGTAGAGGGGGAGCGAGAGAAAAAAGGGGAGAGGAACAAAGGGCAAGAGATGGGGGCGAGAGGGAAGGAGGGAGAGAGGGCGAGGCAGATGCACAGGCACGCACGATGTCCACCACCGGCGAGTCCTGGGCGCTGAACACACGCCCCAGGCGCTGGGTCTCCAAATCGAACAGGCGAATCATGCAGTCATCTGTCACCACGGCCAGCAGGCCATTTTCCCGGTGGATCATCATGCGGGTGACCGGGCCAGACTCCGGGTCCAGGTTCAGCGGCAGGCTGGTGACCTTGGAGCCAGCACCGGCCGACGAGACGAACGACGTGTGGAAGGGCCACACCTGGACCGTGCCGTCGAGGCTGCAGCTGACCAGCGACCGAGCCGTGGCATCGAAGCAGAGCCCGGTTACGCTGAGGCTGTGGCCGAGATACGTGCTCCGATGGTAGCCGGACTGGACGTTGAAGGTGTCGATGCGCCCAGACTCGTAACCCACAGCCAGATAGTTGCCGCAGAAGGAAATGCAAACGCTCTGTGGTCGCGATGGGGGAGGGGGCATGGGGGAGCGGGAGCGGGTGGGTGGGGGGGTGGGGGTTGGGGGTGTGGGGGGGGGGGTGGGGGGGGGGGGGGTGGGAACAAAAGGGGGGGGGGGAGATGGAGAAGAGGAATATCGCATGCGGATGGACGCGCGCTGACGGACCTTGGCATTGGAGCCATCCTTGGAGAGGATCTTCACATCGGACAGGGCACGCTTCTCCGTCCACCAAAGGTAGACAGTCGGGTGGTTGACATGGCAGGTGGCGATGTTATGCCAGTCGCGCTCGCGCACATCCGCTGTCAAAAGTGCGGCGCAAGGGAGGAGCACAGCAGGGCCAGGCGTGTGCGCCTGTTAGTGGGAGGAGGGAGACGGGGGCGATCTTGGAAAGGGGGCCCTGCGAGTGGTCGTACACCAGGAGAATTGCAGAACCGGCGGCAGGCGCAGGGAGGCCATGGTGACGTGGCGCTTGTTGGCCACCGCGCGCAGGGATCCCTGGGAGAACTCGACGGCCTGCGCGTCGCGGATCAAAGAAAACAGCCGGAGGGCGCGATCTGCGCCGGAAGAGAGCAACACATGCCCGAGGGACATGCTGTCGATGGCGCCATAGAAGCTGCCGTGGCATGGCGACACCCAAGCGGACACAGGGACCAGTCAGAGAGGCGCGGGGAAAGAAACGCAGGGGCCAAGCATGATGCTGGGCGTTGCCGCCATGCGGGGTCACAGGGCACGCGGGTGGCAAGAAATCGGCCCCCCCCCCCCCCCCCCCTCGAGCATGGACGCACCGAATGAAGTTCGGGGGGGCATTGTGACCGGAGCGCGAGCGCAGCAGCTGCGAGGGACCGTTCGGCTGGTCATACACCCAGGCACAGATGCTGTTGTCCGCGCTGGAGGACAGAAGGACCCCGGTGTTGGCGACGAAGTGCAGCGCACTCACGCCGGCCTCATGGGCCGCGTGGGCCACATTCACCAGACGACGCTTCTCCAAATCAAAGGTGGCGATCTGGCCCTGGTGGTCACCGACCGCCAGGATGGGGGCGTCATCTGCAAATGCGGCAGGAAGAGAGACAGGGAAAAGCGAGGGAAGGAATGGGGCATCAGTGTCAGGGGGGCCCAGGGGAGGCAAGGGCAGGTGATCGAGGGCGCACCACTACGGAAGGCCAGGCTCAGGACCGGGCCATCCACACGGAAGGTCATCAGAGTCTTGTCATGCTTGAGGTTGTGCACGAGCACCGAACCATTGGACAGGCCGAGGCCGATCACGTCGAGCACGGGCGACTGGACCACCGACACCACGGAGGCCGGGAGCTGCGCAAACTGGAAAATCTGCTTGCCGGAGCGGACGTTCCACAGCTGCATGATGCCGGACGCCGAGCAAACCAGGACCTTGTTGACGTAGGTGCTCGGCTGCAGCAGGGCCGTCGGGACGAAGGTGTCCCCCATTTCCAGGGTCATATGGGGGGTGACTGTGCAAAGGGAGGAGGCCCCCCGCCGCCGGATGGGGAGAGGTGAGTCCCGGACCGGGGAGCAACAAAAGAGCCGCGGTGGTGGGGGCCCACAGGGGAAGGAAAAGCAGAGGGCGCCAGCACGCACCGGCAGGTTGGTTGGGGAATTGGCGGATGTTCAGGAGATCCCACACGCAGACAGTGCCGCTGGTGTCGGCCGACACCAGGAAGTCCCCGGACCCGATGACACACAGCTGGGTCACCGGGGCCTTGTGGGCCTGGAGGCGGCGGCGCTCGCGACCACGCTCGCACACAGCCACATCCTTGCCGGTAGCCACGAAGGTCAGCTGCTGGTGCGAGGAGATGGCCGCGACTGGGTGCTCAAACTGGGGGCCTGGATGGAGGGGGAACGGGGGCACCGGGGGGGGGGGGGGGGGGGGGGGGGGGGGGGGGGGAGGAGGAGTCAGAAAGATGCTCACATCGACGCATGCACGAGGGCAGCATGTGGGGATGATGCGTGCGTGGGTGTGCTCGAGGGCGTACCGACGAAGAGGAGACGCATTTTGCTTCCCTGTGGGTTGAAGGTGGTGTATGAGCGGGAAGGTGAGCGACGGATTTTTCCAAAAACGAGGGCGGCCATGGTCAAGGAGAGGAGAGGGCGATTGGCAGAAGGAGGGCCCCGGCAAAGTGACTCGGTCCGAGTGCGCACGTCATAGATGTGGAAGGAGTTGCCGATACTGGTGATGATGAAATAGCCGCGGGCATGGGCCTGAATGTGCATCGGCACCGCGTCCGACACGAGGCCGATTTTGCGGAACTCCTCATACAGATGGGAGGAGACGGCCGAGGTGGCCAGATCCAGGGAGGACATTCTGCTGCGCATGGGCAGGCAAAGGGTAAGTGGACCATCAGAGTCGGCATGTGTGTGTGTGTGTGTGTGTGTGTGTGTGCGTGCGTGCGTGCGGGTGTGTGGCTGGTGCAGATACATACATGGATCGTTTGCCTGCTCGCGGCTCCGAATGCGCGCGTCGAGCTGATCACCGCCAAACACAGGGGAGAGGGAGAAGTGGGAGGAGTGGGGAAGGAGGAGGAGGAGAGAGAGGGGGGGGGGAGAGGAGAGGACGGCAATGTGGTGGCTTGCCGCTGTCCGCGCACGGCCGGGCCACGCACCGTTTTCGGGGGCCCTGAGATTGCTCGCTTGGCGGGGGGGG